AGTGGACCCTGAGGGTATGCACCTGGATATTATTATTTATAAATGTGCATGCATGCATATGCATGCGCATCTTTTTATGAGGCAAGCTAGCAAAAAACCACATAGAAAATAATATATGGCTGCCATAGCTCCAAGAAGAAAGAACCTAGAAACCTGAAATTTTGCCCACATATTAAGTTGACCCTGAAGGTGTGCACCTAGGTTTTACTTATCCACGTGCGTGCATGCATGTGGGCATCTGTGTGCATGTGTGACTGCCATAGCTCCATGAAGAAAAAAACTAGAAACCTGAAATTTTGTACCCATACTAAGTGGACCCTGAGGATGTACATCTTTTTAATGATGCAAGCTAGCTAAATACCACATAAAAAGAAGTGGTTCCTTATATAACAACTTCTGATATGAAGAAAGGCCAGTGCATTTTGGTAACAATGCATCCGAACAATGGCTTTTAAGTCATGTTGCTTAGCAACAAAAGTATATAGGTTATACTTTTATGCTAAAATGGGTTCAGCATACAAACACTGACATAGTCATCTAGAATATATCAACCTAATAACCCGAGCAAAGCCAAGCACCTTCGCTAGTAGTGAATATGGAAAACCAAAGAGGAACCTATTATCAAAATAAAAAAAGGGAAATTGTAAACAATTAAATAACCTAGATTAAGATATCTACATGAAGGTATAAAACACAGAATTTACTGATACATGAAACAGAAAAGAAATCTTAAAGTAATAATAAAATGAGCTAAATAAGAAGTAGAGATGAAAACTAGTTGTATAATAAGGCAAATGGTCGTTTTTAAACTACGTAACAGTCATTTAAAGCTCTGGTATCATTATCCTATACCTGTCAATTACCACAGCTACACTTAACTCCTTACACCCAAGCAGACGCTACCAACATCCAGCCATTGGGCAGTAACAGCATTTGATAACATTTATGTATCTTTGGCTGAAACTAACCCAAACCATGTTATTATCCACAAAATTAAAAAAAAATTAAGTTTTATAAGGTATGGTAATAACTATTAGGAAATCATGAAACTAATTCCAGCAGAATGCACAAAAAATTAAGAGTTTAAAGAGTTAATAATCAAACTTACTCTGTGGTGTAAGTATGCCCCACAATTGCAGGGTGGCCTGTAGGGCCAGACAAACTTAAGAATTGGCAATAAGGGAAGTAAATATAGAGGCCTAATTACTTTTTTATGCAGGGGGAGCATCTTTTGCAGTTATGCCACTGGACTTACTAACAACACTCAACAAAGAAGTTGTTCAGGTATAACTTAAAAATTAAACTTATTGATACACTTGCTGATATGTCCAAGGTATATATTCCAGAATGTTCTGTTTTATAAACGCATCTATTCTCTCTTCTAGATATATTGTGGATTTTGCTGCTGTTTTTTTTTTAATCAGTGGTGAGGTGGAAAATGAACTGGTTTCCTACACCCCTAAAAGAACATCACAAAAATGCTTGTCTGAAAAAGGTGTTGGGGAAAATAGAGTGGCCATACCTAACCTAAGCTCATATCAGACAGCCATTATCTTTAATTGATCAATTCTACATTACAAACGTACCCATTAATGTGTTCCGTGATAGCCAGGTTGATGCCCAGGGACTAAACCTATAATAGAAGGGCCTCCAAAACCATCAGCCCCTCTCGTTTTTCTATTTTCTTCAGTTCTTGTATAAGTGGTTTTTTACAGTTGTTTAAGAATATCTGAAGAAAGTTATACAAATGGCTATCTGCGCATACACTAGTGAGAAAGCAGCTAGTCAACTGCATACACTGCCAACTTTTAGGTTACTCTTATCTGATCAAAAAGTGAGAATCTTATATGGTAGTCAACATTTAACACTCGGATCCACAGTTTAGGTACGTTAATCACTAGGTCACGCCTGGTCTTTTACAAACGGTAATTATAACAATAATGATAAAATTAACTGTTATTTGTTGATGATGCAACAGGAGGTTTGAAATACCATCACTTCAACATTGCCGATAAGTAATAATTAATCAATATACAACTTTATATATCTAACAAACAAAAACGAATACTGTATATCCCATGACGTCAATTATTTTCACAAAGTATAGAATTCGACTTTTTTTTTTCTTTTTAAGCTGGGAATTAGTTACAGTGTATTTCTATAGATACAAGATAAAATAAATTCATCAATCAATAATACTTACACAATCGAACCATTAATCTCTACAAGAAATCCAAATATTTATTCAGTTTAAAACATTTTCAGCACTGTGCCGATGATAAAAGTTTGTTTAATTGAAGGAAAAGGTCGAAGCCATCATGGAAAAGTCATTACTTGTCATATTTGTTGACTGAACAAATATTTTCAACATGTGCTCCATTTCATTACTCTAAGTAACTCCCCTCTCAGCTACACTCTGTATCATTATTACTATTCAGAAGAGAAACACTGTTTATGGCGAATCTTTGAGCAAACTCTCAACAAGACTTGAGAAGTATCGGCTACCTGTTGTTTCAGCTTGAGTTGATATCAAATAATTAAATTTTTCCCTCTGTACTTGAGGATAATCAGTTAGGGTTTTATCTTGAGGATGAAAAAAACAACAAAAACAAACGACTATCTCATCAAGACTTGATGGTGGCCGATTATCTCGTGTTTCGGCGAAGGTCAAGTATAAATACACCCCTACCTTCAAACTTGAGGACGATCAGTTACACAGTACTTCGTCTCGAGTTCAAATCAAATCAAAAATTATATCCTCGAAGACTTGAGGACGCAACTCTGTTCAGTTAACTTATACGAGATTACTTTAACGTTTAGTGGTCTGTTAATTAAGATATATTTGTCCACTAGTAAGTGGTAATGATAAACACAAATATACTGGGGCCAAAATAAAAGGTTTGACCTTCAAAAACTTAAGCATGATCAATTACGCAAAATTTATGATTAGGCTAAGGTCGGATAAAGGTATTCCATTCAAGACTTGAAGACGATTGCTTACACAAAGTTTCAGCCAAGGATAAGGTTAAATAAAGATATTCATATTGTAGATTTTAGCAGCTCTTCTGGCAGAAGTTACTGCACATTTGTTACAAAAATTATACACTGAAGGTATACTAAAGATTATGTTGCAAAATAAGAGTAGTCACTTACGCAGAACATACCAGATTTTTAAGTTAAGTAAGGCATATGTTTTTATTACTTTAACACTATCTTTAATCATAATTCTGGCAAGCAGAACAGTTCGGATATTGAGGCCATATCCCAACAGACGCCATCTATCGGGCTGACATGTAAAATCACTTGACAGCTCATTAGTCACTTTCTCTGTAATCATTTTTATTTTTTCCACTTCTGTAAAGTAAACAACTCATCCCAGACGAACATAATGATCTTGGCCCGTGGCCTTTATTGCCTAGTACCCATATTTTATTTTCATTTTGACGAAAGACGGTTTCTTCATTGGATTGAAGGTTTAATTTCACCGAACTTTTGAGCTCGAG